GAGCGGAGTATATCTGTCAAAATGTAAATTGTTTGTGACTGAAGCTCCCTCTGCAAAGATACAGCACCTACCTCTTCAAAGACCTTCTGAGAAACAAAACCGTACACGTATCATACCTCATTGTGGAAAAGCCTATGAGTGGACCTTTAAAGCTTCTCCCAGGGTTTCTTTAGAATTCATGGCACATTATATATTCCAGGACATATTATTTTTTAGTGCAAATTGTAACAAAGTTGATTTAAAACATATACAGATGCAGTGAACCTGAACTAAGCCTCCACTTTCCCCATAAACAGCAGCAGAATGGAAATATTTTGACTAACAACCTGATCCTCCCTTCACAAAACTATCACAGTTTCTCTCTAGATGGCAGTGAAGTTCTTTCAATGACAGAGCTGCTTCCTTCCCCCACCTTCTTTCCATTTCTTCTGGACACTCATTTTCAGCCATACTGCGCTATGATTTAACAAGGCTTTGATGCTGTAAGATGTTGGCGGGCACAAATCAGATTTTTTTTTTTTTTTTTCCCTAAAAGGATAATATACTGCTTTTTCAAAGTCAATTAACACTTAGGGCAAATGAAATGGGGAGAGCTAAAGGTCAATTACTAAAGGATGGCCACAAAAACCTTTCTGGTTTATACAGCGTTCATCCAGGGATTGCAGATCACTGGGAAAAGAAAGGAAATAGTAATTAGCTCATTTCATTTCTTGATGGTTACCAATAAGATGCTTTAATACAGTTTATCTGTTTTATTTTCAATCAAGTGTGACTGGTGCTAATAGTTGTTTTGACCAGCCTAAGTCTGTGCTCTTTCAAGACACTATGCAGTCATCGCAGTCACTGGGAAACTGTTGTGGCAATTAATGCACCAGAGAGATATTAGCATTAAAATTTCAGGTCGGGAATGCTCTCAATGAGCTTTATGTAAAAGAAATATTGTAGCTGTGCTGTCCAGCCATTAAACAAACAAGAGAGACTAAGAACAAGTGCCATTCTTACTGTCATTCATCATCCAGGTTAAAACAAGCAGGTAAGCCGATGCTTAGCCTTTGGAGGAGTGTGGTGTTGACTCACTGGCCTATCTACTGCTGGCTTTTTATGTCATGACTGTGGTGCTGGTCTGCAGGTGACCTGGTACGGTTATAAAGATTTAATCAGTCACAGCTCCAGTGCCATCATGTTCCTCATGTCAGTCACTGACATCAGTGCGATGCACTGAAGTACAAGCGATATCTGAATTCTTTTGAGATGTGTGCCTTGTTTGGAAAAGGCAGATTCATGTCAAGAGAGCATAAAGCTTGAAGGTAGCTCTAATAAAACTATTAGAAAGACAAAATTCAAGGACCATCTATAACAAAATGGAGTAGCAGATTACTGTCTGGTAAGTTTAATGGTGAGCAGACGTGAAAATGGCCAGACTTGACTTGAATCTGTGCTTTCCGCTTGCCTTTTGTAAGTCGAACAGCTTTCCAGGCAAGACTCACACTTAAGATTGCAGTCACAGTTCATTTCTATCTTTTTAAAAATAACTCTGCTGAGTTTAATAACCTTTTCCTTTTTGAATAAGGAGTTTCTGTTTGCAGTCACATGAAAAGAAAAAAAGGGCAGTGCTACAGGCAGCAGGAGATTATTTCATGCCTACCTACTCAAAGAGGGTTTTACAAGAGCACAAGGGCCAGGGAAAGCACATAATGAGCAAACTCTTGTGAGGTAAATTATTATTTGGGATTTTGAATGGGTCCTTAACGTGTGGGGGAAACTGTACCGCCAACTAGCTGTGTGTGGCACTTGACTTTCAGCTAAGTAGTGACTTATCAGATAGCTGTCATCCCTTGCCTCATTTCACTGTCTGTGACAGCAGGGAAAGGAGGAAAAAAAGTGCTGGGCATAGAAGTCATGCTCCGTTATATGCTGCTGTATTAGAGAGACAAAGCTTTTTCTAGCCATAGGTGTGTGTGTAGTGCACTAATTGTCTGCCCCCACCTATGCACAGCCAGCAATCTGTCCTTTTGGCTTGAAAAGCACAGTAGTTAGGCTCAGGAGCAATATGCACCCAGGCACAGTGCTTATTTTGTTTCCTTGAGTTACAAAGTGAGCGAGGATCAGTTGTGGAGCTACAGGGCATATCCTGCTTTTGGAGGATATATGTAGGCTTTTGCCATAGCACCAACCATAGTGTGGTGACACTTAAGGTAACTAGAAAGCTCAGATGCTGTGGGTGTATTTGCATTGCACAATTTGCTCAAAAACGAACCTCTTCTCTTAAAAACATGGTAACTGTGTCAGCATAGAGTTTTCTGCAGACTGATCCTTGCTGAAGGGTCTCTCAGGTACTCATCCAGGGACCTGTAGCATATAGCACTACATTGGTAGTGTGTCTGTGGTAGCAAAGCTCTTGCCCAACATTTTGGACAGATTTTAGAGCACATGCAGAGCTCTGTAATGTGTAGGGTTGTGCTCTGCTTGCCTTTTACTCTGATGTTCATGTTTCTCTGCCTGTATCCACTTATTTTCCCACAGATTTTGTTGAATTACAAAGCAAGCATTCAGAATATTTGGAATGTCCAGAACGACTGAGCATGTTCAGTGAACACGTCCACATCAGCTGTGCTGTGTGTACAGCTGATCTTACTGTGTTGTGTAGCTTATTGCAAGGGTCAGCCTCTGTTCACATGTGGCGTGTGCATTTCTTTGTATACAATAAACAACTGCTCTACTAAGGCTATTTCATGTTTGTTGCTGTAATGACACTAAAAGAATTTTGGGGATCACTCCTTAGAATGAGAGCCATTTTGCTATGGTATCTGCTTTATTAGCCACATATTGGAGAGCAAGATGTTCCAGCAGACTACATGTCTGTAGTAACACATCCTGGGAGAAACATTCCCACACAATCAGCATAGTAGATTTTCTCCCCTCCCTGCCTTTTTTGGACATTTATTTTGTTCTCTTTTGAATGTGATCTTTGCTATTCTACTTAAAATAAAATACAATAGAGGAAATTTAGATGTGATGTTTTTCTTCACAGCATTGAATTGATAAGCTGGTGAGAACAGCTGTTCTGTGTTTCAGCAAAATATGCAGAAATGCGCAACAGTAAAAAAAAAAAAAAAAGGAAAAAAAAAAGAATAAAAAAAAATGGAGTGATCAAAAACAGTCCCTAAAGCTTTGTTTGTGTATACTGTCTTTGCATCTGAGCCAGCATCCATAGAAATCAATGATACCTTCTTTTCTTTGTTGTTGATAGAAGCAGCTTCAAGCAGAATTGCCAAAGTATGTTAGATTAGTTTCCCAGTGTGTTATGTTTTAGGGAACCTACTCTCCCACCACTTTATATACTGTGCACTCCACTGTTTTACAATGGAGTAAGCACGTGAGAAAAGTATATATTGCAAGATTTTCAATTGTTAGTTTTTAATGTATGAGTTCAGCAAATATTTTAAAAATATACTTTCACTACATCTTTATCTAAATGTTACAAAGAAAAAATATAGATTAATTATAGTTCTTTTCTGCAATAGTAAGATTCTTTAAAAAATATGAAATCTTTTTTCATGAGCTGATGTCATGGTTCGTTTGAAGCAATCTAATTCTCCTGAATATAAAACAGGACAGCATGTGCCCACTGCCATATGAGATTCCTCGTGGTCCTACTTGTGAACCACTCAGATCACTCAGAAGCTTTAAAAAGCACGCATTTTGTTCTGAAACTCAAATGATCAGGTAGCTGGAGAGAAGTCATTTATGAGAAAAGATTAAAGTCTCCCAGTAATCATTCAGTAATGCATTTGCACTCTTCAACTGCTTTGATTGCTGTTGGTAGTACTGTCAGAGACACTAACATATGTTTGCTGTGGATATTCCCAGTATTCCAGCATTTCTTGTGGATTGTAAGGAGAGTAACAAAAGTGAATTTAAAACAAGTAAATTGACATTTAATGGTTCTTGATAGAGAGGTGTTGGTGAGACAAGGCTTACTAATTCATCTGTTCTTCTGGGTGGTAGATACTGTTTTTATTTTCATTCATGCTATAAAATAAATTTAACTTTTCTTTCTTGACTTTCTTGGAATCTGTTCACTTATGCCTCTTGCTTAGTAAAAATAGGGTTTGTCTTACTGGAAATGATTTTCTGAGTCTTTTGTTAGGCACCAGGCTGATGTGACAAGGTCAATAGGAATTAAAAAAATGCAGAGAATTAGTATCTCTTTCATTCATCCTTTGTATAGGTAAGAGAATAGCTCAATTTTGAAGTAGCTTCTGGAATGAAAAATAGCAAACCTATGGCACTGAACATTGATATCATCTCTCTGTCAACTTGGAGCTAGGAGGAAGTCTTAGGGTGTTACACACCACATGGAAACATAATATGTTAAGGACTGAACAGGGTTTATCAAGACTCAGAATATTCACTTGCTTTCCCAGTGTCTCTTTTTCACACTCTGAAGTTGTAGGTGTACCTGTAGGATGGTGAGGTAACACATCTTTGAGGGAGTAGTCAGAGAATGTAGAAGACCAAAGATGGCAGGAGCATTTGTGAAGCATCAGTGTTAGAAAGCTTATGACAATCTCCATTGCTTGGACAGATCTACAAGAAAGCAGAAAACTTTCAACATTTCTTCTTTTCAATCTCTTTTGTATTCTAACCTGAAAAGGAAGAGACTGTGATAGAGATCTTCACCAATGAGGAATTTAGCTGAAATATTTTGTCAGTCTCAGTTGATGCAACTGCCAACAGATTGTGATTATCTGTACAACATTTGAATGCTAAAGGGGCACTAAAGATCCTTATACACTATTAAATACTTTTTGAATAAATATAAGCTTCTTTGGTTCGAGCTGTTCCCAAGAATATTTTCTCACCTATGTAGAAACAGAGTCTTGATATATCATGTATTTGTCCTGTGTATGGAAAATGTTGAGTCAGGGCCTGAACCACTGATTGATCACCTGAGACAGGGCTGAGTCAGCCCTGGGAGCACAGGTGAAGGCTGTAAACCCCATTTAAGGGCTGACTGCCACTGGGAAGGATCTCTTTCTGGAGATCCCTTCTCTGTCGGGTCTTTCTTGTGAACCTAGATCTTTGGATACAGGTGAGCATTCCTTCTCTGCTTGTTTCTTTCTTCCATTTTCACCGTGATCATCTTTCCAGCTGTAACACCAACTGTAACAGTCCTGTAACCAAGAAATTCCTAAAATACTGTTGGAATTCAGAGCAGTTATTTAATTGATCACAAAATTGGGTTTGCTACGAGTCAACGTTTTGACATAGTGCTAATTTCATGTTCCTCAGAAGTGAAATAAAACCCCACCTCATTCTGTTTCCCAGTGTCAGACTCAGAACAGTAGTTGCTGTTAATTTTGCTATTGGAAAGAATGTACTTTAAAAAAACCTTATTTTCCTGCTCCCTCCTGAGAGGAGTCATACTACACTTTAACTTTCTCTTATTTTCAGCAAGGCTTCAATTCAAATGCTAATTAAGCAGCATATATTGATTGATGCTGAATTTGTCTTATGCAATTCCTGGGGTATGTATATCACATCCCATATGAAAAGAATTTTAAGTGAGGGTAATAATCGTATCTTTCTTGTTAAGAAGATACACACAGATTTTCTGGGGAAGTGATATTATGTTCTTGCACTGATGAAGCAGTGATCAGTGGCCTTATTTCTTGAAACACTTGAAAAAATCTGTGAGATAACTCATTTGTGTTACTCTTGAGTTTCATACTTTATCATGAGGTTCTAAACCTGCTTTATTTTAAGGGAGGAGTTTGTTTCTTTTTCTTATTTGTGTACTATAGGGATGACATGCAAAGGAATGTAGAGTGTGTCAGAATGCTTTCAGATTCATCATTTCAATAATTCCTTCTGCAACAATGGTTTAATTAGAGGCGTATTCTTTTAGTAAGGGCTTTTGTATACTTTTAATGAAATTGAAGAGCATGAAATGTGGTTTCCCTGATTTTAAATGAAGCCACTTTTAGAGAAATAAAATGAGAAATGAAGAAATTGTTGAAGTCACAGTGCATGAAATTAAGAGAACCCTGACTATATTGGCAACAATTTTTTTCTTTAGTATTTTGATGACCATAGAGCTAAATAGTTGTGGGCTAATTGCTAAGAGATTTTCTTGTTTTGGTTCATAGGCCTTTGACAGTTATATTGGCTTACATTCATTTGAGCAATTCATGATCCCCATCCTGCAGTTTCCTTGAGGCTGGTGGAACCTTGTTCTGTGGTAGAGCTTCACGGAGTCTTCACAGAAGACACACAGCTTTCTGTGTATGGAAAATACTTTTGCAGGCAGATAAATTAAAATCAATAAGAGTTTGCATGAACCCTTGTCTTTTCTTGCCTATAAAGAGCTGCAGAATTAGAGCTATTAGTGGGATTTTGTAAGTTCAATGTGGTTGCAAGTTCCTAGTCGTCTATGAAAAATCTTGTGCACTGAGGCTTGTGAGTAAAGCTTTTCTAAGGGCAAAAATCATCCTGCCAGTCGCTCAACCCACCTCCGCAGTAGAATGAAGAGAAAGAAGGATGAGAAAGATATGGGTTGAGATAAAGACAGGGAATTTGCTTGACAATGTGGGTTATGGGAAAAACATACTCATTTAGAGGAAAATTAGTGTATTGCAAATTAAAATAAATTACGGTAGCAAAATACAAACTCTAAAACAATGTTCTCCTTACTTTCCCCCCCAACTCAACTTCATTTCTTTACTCCCAATCCCTCTATTTAGCACTGAGCAGCTCAGGTGAATGAGAGGATACCATCAGTACACAGTAGTTTCTCTGCAGCTTCTTCCCTCTCACATCTCTTCCCTGCTCTATCATCGTCCTCTCCATGGGCTACAAGACAATCTCTGTTTCAGTGCCTGGTACAGCACCTCCCACTCCTTCCTCACTGACCTTACAGTTTCCAATGCAGTTTCTCACTCTTTATTCCTTACTTTCCCAGCCTTCTTTTTACTTTTTCCTAAACACTCATGGGTGTCAGCAGCTTGGGCAATGGGCTCAGCTGTGTCCTACAGTGGTTCTAATGGAGCTAACTGTACCCAACACAGCTTAACTCCTTGTCTCTTCTCCCTTAGGCCACACCTGCAGCCATTCACTGCCTCCCCCCCCTGTGACAAATGTGCTGATCATAGTGCTTGAGCAATGGTTTTAGGGATGCTCTACTTTCAGAGAAAAATCATTAGATCACTAACATATTTAGACTGTATATTAGCCCCTGTTTCCAAATTGTTCCTTAAACAAGAATCAATCCCTTAACAATTACTGCAGGTCTGTTGGGGTTAAATTTTCAATTAATTTTTTTTAGAGAAGTCCCTTTTGAGTAAGTTACTTGAATATAAGGAATGTAAAGAACATGACTGTAATTTTGAGTAATAGATCTATCCACTGACTTAAAAATATTAGATTTACCTGTGTGTGCCCAGCTGAACTATTGTCTTTTCCAGTAGTCCCTGACCTGCTTTGTAACCTGGAAATGTCCCATGGGAAGGATGTTTGAAAATGGGCTCTTTGTAAGTGTTCCCTCTTGAAGAAATTCTGCTCATTCCGAAGCAAGTTGATATTTCTGTTTAAAAGCAAGATCCATTTCAATGATAAAGAATTCCTTTATTTTTGTTCTAGAGCAGACTTGACCAATAATGTTCTCTGTGACGCTGCTTTTTCCTGAAAAGTACAACTTCACTTAAATCAAAGTTTCACAGAAACTTGCCATTTTGAATAATGAAAAGTTCTAACAGCAAACACTCAATTATACGTTTATTTAGATGTTTGGTAATAGAAATCAGTGCAGCATGTGTTAGAAAATGCTTAATACCACCTGGGTAGGAGCATGCAGGACTGTGGTCAGCTGGTGTGCTGCAGGCAGTATTGCACTTTATCTACTTCTTATCTGCTCTCTTTTCTGCCAATCAGTCATGACACAATCCACAAGCCAGAGAATACCTTCAATATCATCTTCCTGACTTTTCCAGAGTTTCTGGGTTTGTTGTATGAGCTTGTATTTCATTTGGATTCAGTGTAAGAAAGCTTGCCATCTCCAAATGCTCAGAAGCCTGGCCTATGTTGTTTTAGGGGGGAAATGAAAAAAGATAAGTGTTTCTTGATGAGGTTAGAGTGGGAATCTGTGAGTTACGTTAATAATTTAGCAGAGAAGAGTATTATTTGGGTATGTTGTCTGTGTGCAGAGACTAAAAGGCAAATCACTAACCCCTGTCAAAAACCCTGTTTTTTTTTTCTGGTCTTGGAAATTAATGATCAGTTCATGTAACTGAGAAATGATGGGGAATCAGAAGTACTGTTGCATGAGAATGGAAGTAATTGTTTGCAGTTTTCATGAGAAGATTGCCAGTTTGCAGGATTTGGACTGCATGCAAACTGTTTTTTTCCACTCTAATTGAAGATGTGTTATCTGTGGGAAGAGTTGACTTGACATTGACAAACTTGAGTGGAATACACAGCCAAGAAAATGGGCTCAGGTTGGCCTTGAAAGTGATTAACTAGCTCATACTGTGATATTCCTATTATTCCTAGGAATTCCACAGGTTGCTAAATGTACTTTTGTCTGTACAGATGCCAGTTACACAGTGGCAGTTGTAAGAGGTGTTGAAGCACAAATGCAGAAAGACTTTGATTTCTAAAAGAAAAATCTTTTATTTTGGAGACTAAAGCAAGTACAAAGGGTAATTTTTAAATGACAGTGTCTGAAATTTTTCTTGATAAAATTTATCCTAGAGCAGACGCAAATGTTCCATAGATACTATTATTTAAAACTTGATACTCATTAGACTAGGAAGCCTGTATGCATATAGGAGAATTTCATCCTGTATGGATGCAACTGAGGAATCTCTTATGTCAATTCTTAAGGTGAGGCAAAATTTGCTTGCTTTTTATTTTTATCTTTAGCTAATGGTGAAGGGTACTCTATTGCAACTATGCTTTGGTACATATGTTGCTGCTAGGTGAACATTAGATTAATGTATTTGCCATAGATGCTTAATAAAAATAATGTGAAATTATGTAGTGTTGCTAGCTTTCATCAAAATGATGCGAAAAGCACAACTAGATTACAGTAACTATTATTTTTCTTTTAGCACTTTTTTTTTTTGGTGGGTATAGAGATTTACAGCAGGGCTGCTGCATACAGAACATGAAGAATAGAGCAAACACGTTAGAAGCCATTAATACTCTCTTCTAAAGAGCTGACTCAGTTCTCCTCTGTTTGTTTGAGAAAGGCAGGAGATCAGCTGGGATTTATGACCTCACCTATATTTTCAAGTGGCATTTTTTGAGAAGTGAATGAGATGTTGTTAGAGACCATAAAACAATACAGATTTCTAAGGACTTCTAGAGTACACTGTGCAATGTTTCCTCACCATAATCTTGAGATGTACATTGCCTTTTTAATCGTCTTGTCTTGTCCGCTTTTAAAAAGGGACAGAAACTGATGCATATACAGCAGGTTCATAAGGAATAATAACATCTGACTGTTTGCTCATCACAAGCGTTTCAGTCCGATTGTACTTATGAATGAATGAGCTTCATTCATGCCTCCTCTTAAATAAATTTGCATGTATGAATTGTGTCAGGATTAAGGCAGGAGCGGACTTATTCTCTGGATCACTGTTAAAGTGCCTGGTACACCACCAAGGACTTCGGTGACTAAGCTGTCAATGGATGTTATCATTAAATCCTGGAGACTAAAAAGCTTCAGAGAAGATTGTTTCAGTTTTCTAAGATTAGATTTGTCTTCTTTACCTGAACTGGCTTGCACCATACTCTTTGTTATCCCCCGGTTTCTTAGTTTGCTCAGAGTAAGATTATCTGAAGTGTGAGTAGCCCTAAGCATATGATATTATTATTGTAGTCTGAACTTGACCCTTGATGCCTGCCCAAAATGCTGCTGCTTTTTTTTTTCTGTCCAGCTTAGGAAAGAAAAAAGTGCAAATTTCTAGTGCAAAGAACCTTACTTTGTTGGTCTTATGAACATATTTTTGTGTTCATTAAGCTGAAGTAAAAAGAGAAGTCACTGCAATAATATTGTGTATTTCAGAAGACTATTAAAAATATTGAATAGCCTTGCAATGTATATGTCAGTATATTACATAGATTCATATTGCAATATCTTAGTGGAAGTAGAGATGCTCTCCTCTGAATTGAAAGGTTGCTAGGAGAGACAGCTGCTGGCTGCATGAAGAACTTTATTTTATAAAGTAAGAATGCAGCAGCAAATGGTATTCCACCCTCTCACTGAGGAACCATGCATGTAATTGGGCTGCTTACTGTAAAATAAAAAAAACTGATTTTCTGTGACTATATACGTTTAACAAGGAAAATTTAACATTTTCATTGTATTAATCTAGATGGTGTTTATTTAAGTGGGGAATAATTTTAAGTAATAGATAATTAACTCTTTCTTTATTTTCCTTTCCTATTCTTTCTTTTTCCTCAAGTAATATTAACCCATTCAGAAAATGGCAGTGGTATTTTCAAAGAAAAAATAACCTAAAAAATGAAGGAAACATAATTTGGAGCTACAGTTCTGTTGCACACAGGATCTGAACTTGTCAGTGTTTGCAAGTGGGGATGACTGACTTGTAAAGAACAAGAACCATGTGTTTACTCTTCATTGCTTCTACCCAGGGATACAGCCTTGAATTTGATCTCCCGTAAATCTGTGTGCAGCCTGGGTAGGATGTTTAAAGCCCTTCTCATTTGCCTTCATCTGCTGTGCTGGTTTAAGGTCAATCTTTACTAGATTTAGTTGAAGAAGAAGCCTCTGAGAGCGGTTGGTAAGCCTGGCTACTTTGTACAATAACAAACAAAAATAATAATAAAAAAAACTAAAAAAAACTGAAACAAACCAAAAACTAAAAACTCAAACTCTCAAAATGAAGTAAATCTGTTTATTGTAAGTAAGATTTCATAAAATAATTTCTATTGACATCCTTCACACGTGAGAATGATAGGACTTACTGTTCAATTGACAAGGTTTTTGTGCAGCTATAGATTTACTATGTGGCATACTCATCAAATATGAGTGACTTCTACCAAGTAAATAATAATTGTAACAGCTTTCTAGGCTACGGTCCTATGGTGTAAAATCATTACTTCCTCTAGACTATCATGTTAATATGACCCTTTCCAAGAAAGGAGCTCAAGAAGTCCCTGTAACACCTTTGGATGAAATAGACTCTGAAAACAAAGCAGGACAAAATTGTTATGAGAAGAGGAAGAAAGAAGCCCATCTGTCACCAGATAGGATTTGCTTTACTTACATCTGAGAGAAAACTTTGGCTTTTTGGAGGTAAGAATTAATCATATGCTACTTCTTTCCCATTCCATTTGAAACAGTAGAACAGCCCTTTCATTTCTGACTGCGGCAGACCTTCAGTTAGGTATACACTTCTTCAGCTTCTTTGAAAAATAGCTTGTTTAACTAAGAGGTTTGTCTGGATGTTATTTTTCAAAAGTGACAGTAGGTTCTTAGAAGCTTTTTGCTCAGAATTGTTTGGGACTTGTTGACGTTAAAAAAAATGAAGCTGAAAAGTATCAGTCATTTTTTCATCATTCTTAGGCTGTTTGTAGTAGTGCATAGGATGATCTTTATATGTATACCACGTTAGACATTAGCTGATGCCTAATACAGCAAGTTATAAAGCCAGTCTATACCATCTTACCCTAGCTTGTAGATTCAGCAAATTAGTTATAATGCATGTCACGTGCACATTGAACCTTTAAGTGAAAGTGAATTTCAGATTCAGAAAAAAAAAAATAGCCAAAAGAACAGGCTAGTAATTAGAACCTAACTTTCCTTGCATTGACAGCAGTTGAGTCATTTATTAAGTCAATGTACCACAGTAACAGAGCAACATCACACTTGATTGAAATCTTGGCCAAGTCTGACAGATGTTTTCAACTCATTGTCAATCTCAAGTATGTTTTAATGAGTTTCAAGTGGCTGGAGCTCCCCTCTGCAGATGCCACTGTTACTGAGACCGTGAAAGGAATCTTTAGGGCAATGACAGCATGGAAAATTCCTTTGAGTAAATGGTGTATCAGAAGAAATCCTGACTAGCAACGCAAGTGCAGTTCCTGAGAATGATCTTTACATTTTGAATGTGATGATTTGGTGCAAATTGTTTGAGTTTAGGTGAATATCCCAAGTAAAGGTGAAATTTTGGAGGGGAGCGTTCTTTAAGGATTTTTTTTATAATTCCTATTTCCAAGTAACTGCTGATTAATACTATTTCTGCTTATGCTTTTAGGTCTGGCTGGGAGTCTGAAGAACAAAAGCACATCAGAATAAAACCCACAACAAATATTTAATTCAATATTTTATACTGGGATGAGCAGAAAGGATGGTGACTGTTAAATTTGAAAACTTCAGACTGGATCAAGTGCAAAGATGCTGATTGAAGCATTGACTGAAAGCTTTGCCTGTTTTGATGACTCTGAATAAAGTCTCTGAGTAACAAAACCCTATATTTCACATTGTTTTTGCTGGTATTAAAACAATCTAAAGCAGTTTTTCAGACTCAATATGTGTAGACTGATAATATATAGGAATTCATAAGGAAATTGTGCATATAGAAAGATTGGAAATTAGATTATGGGTCCCAAAATACTGCGAAGAGTACTCAAACTTATCAAGTGATTAACTTTAAATCCTCAAGTAACTAGAATTTGTAAGTGCAGAAAAATCTAATTTATGATATTATGATATTTATTATTCTACACAGGTTATTTAACATACATATTCTGTTGAAATACCTATGAAAGTAAGAGCTTCTTTATAATGAAAAGATTTATTTGGCATAAGTAAGTGGCAAAAGGTTCACATTTTATATAGTTTTTGCACTGGCATCTGAATTTCATTTATGGAAGAAATGTGCTGAAAGTATTGTTTCTGAATCATGAATCTAGAATTCCATCTACAGCAGGGTCTAATGACTGCATCTGTTCAGAAGAATTCCTTAATCTCTAAGAGCTGCATGGAAAACAACAAGCAAAACTGATTTTGTGCTAACTGCAGCTCATTTCTATTCTTTCAGAAAGATGGAATTATGTACTCCAATCCAGTGTCACTGGAACTTATACCTTTATCTCACCGAGGTACGTTAAAATTGAGCCTTAAAGCAGCCTGTACAAGAATTCTCTGATATTTGTATAAACAAGTGAGATATCACAATTTGTGAAAGCTGTTTTTCAAACTGGCAGCTCCTGGGATCTGGCCGTTTTGTTGTTGCTTATGTTAAGCTTGTTGAAAGTTGCCTTTGAATTCTCTTTTTCTTCCAACTTTACTGTTATCATATGGTCTACCCTATGCATGGATGGGGAACGTGAGAATGAATAGTTTATGACCAGAGGTACTACTGAAATCTGGGATAATTCCTTTCAGCCATCTGCAATGGAGTACAGAAATGAATGCTTATGTGGTTGCAAGTTTGGGGATAAGAAGACAAAGTAGTCTGAAATAGGGTTGTTTGGAGCAATTTTCTGCGTGTAATTGTCTAACATTATGTATGAAATGAGGCAAGTATGTATGTGCCTGTTCCACTTTCCAGGCTGTGGCTATCAGGCCAGACTTCAGAACTGGAAAATGTTCTGGCCGTGCACCAAACCAAAGATACGCTGACATTTTGTTGTAATTAGTAATGCCACTCTTTATTAATCACAACCTGTTAAAATCAAATATGCAGGTTATCACCCACTTAAACTTCATTCCAAAGAAGAAAGAACAATACTTTAAATCTGTTCCAGTTTGTATAGTAAGAAGCATTATTAACTTGCATTTTTACCACTTTAATTCATTGACAGGGTATTCCTGTTCAGTCACTGTGAAAGTAGATCTCTGAGAAACTCAGCATTAGAAATTTGGATTCATGTTTTCACTGGAATAAATCATACTTTGGGTTTCAGCTTGTGAGGACAATCAGGCGTTTGCTTGAGAAGGCTCTGGTGACTCTCAAACACGTATGTTGATTAGTACTGGTGTATCACCAGCTGGAAGTACTTAAGCTGGAGGGCACTTTAGATTCTTCCCCTTTCCATCTGTAATTGGCAAGTGTATTTTCTGCCTACAATCAATTGCTTTTATATTCTGAGTAATATCCCTAAGTAAGAACAAATATTACAGCAGCTACAGAAGCTATTGATTGTAGGCAGAAAATGCCCTTTCTAAATGCCACTCGAGATGACTGATGTATGAAGAAAATCTGTGACATCATTAATGTGGCCAATAAACTTGTCACTTGGCAAACCAAGGAATGAACACAAGTAAATGTGATTCTCTATGAATCATGGCATACAGACAAGAGAAGGATCAGATGAGAGCGTCATGTGAAAAGACCAATCTATTGAGCTAGTAAGCTTAAAAAAAAAAAAAAAAAGCAGACAACAAAATCCAGCAGATGTACTGCATAGAAGGCATCAGAGGTCCTGTGTGTGTTTTTTTTTTTTTTTTCGGTTAGAAAGAAACTGAAACAGCAAATACAACTTTCAGTATCCTGGAGGCCAACAAATGGCTATCAGTTTTCTTGCAGCTCTTGGACAAATGTATGTTATGGCACAGTTCTAGATTCACAGAAGGTGTATTTTCAGTCCTTAAAGTATTCCCCTAGATGGCTGTCCTCATGCAGAAATATAAAGATTATAGGATTTAGATGGATGTTTTTGTTGAGCATGTATTTAAGTTATGATGTTGCATTCTTGACAAACTTTCTGAACGCTGTAATCTGTATCTTCAATGATCTTTGCTAATAATTGATCATTTTCACTACTAAATTCTGTTCTGTGAAAGATGGGGAGATGAGAATTGGGAGAAATTATTTTCAGTTTTTTTTTTGGTTCTAAAACATGAGCTTGAGGAAAATGTTGCTTCCTAAAGTGAGGTATCAGGCTAGGGATATTAACTTCTGCAATGACAGATCCATTCTTACAAATTACAGAAATCTCAGATGAAACTTTGTGATGGGAGGGAAAGCTGAAATTAGTCAGAGCTGCAAGTTCTTGAGAACAGCAAAGCTCAAGACCTAGATTTTAAATCGTCTTACTTATCTGGAAGTCTGCTTACCAGTAAGTACACAGAAATGGTGGATTAGCATCCCCCATGTCAGCAGTTGACTGTCTGCATTTTGAAGTGTTTGGCACATATGCTGTATCCTCTGTTCCACTCCTTATTTCTACAGTATTTTAGGATCATAACAAAAGACTCCCCTTGTACCCTATTCTCTGTTTAATAGTTGCTACTCCTTGAATTAGGAAGATGCAAAAGAACTGTCTTCCTTCCCTTCAGTTGAAACTACTCTCAGTGAAAATTTTATGAGCGATAAATAGGAAAAGAAATACACTGGTAATATTCAACGTGAGTCAACCTCTGTCTGCTCAGAAGAGTGAAAGAATGAATTGTGAATTGTTGCTCTGTCATATTAACAAATCTCCCTGAGGTGAGTTGCTGGCGAAGTTATGTTTCCTTCATTATCTGTGTTCTAGTTACTTATGCATTTTAATAAGATGGTTTTCAGTATCACAAGGTGAGTGGTTCTTCCTGATGCTTTTTGTACATCTGCCTTCCAACCTAATGTCATTAATCTTAAAACAACATCAACAAAAACAATAAAACCAACAAAAAGCAGTCCATGAATAAATGGCATAGTATTGTGTGTACTTCTTAACCAGACTGAAGTAAATTCACTGAGAAAGTCAATTCATTTTTAAATTCTTTGTAAGGTCACTGGGATTTCCAAGTTTTATACATACACTGGACATCTATCTGCACTGCTGCTGTCAGAGAGCACTAGTCTTTATTGCAATAGTATTACATCTTAACAAACTACCTACAAAAGTTAAGGAAGTAGGCCAGCCATTCTATCCTGAACCAGCTTGAAATGCTCCCTGTGCAAAGCCTTTTTGGGTGGAAGAGCTAACTGGAAGCTGAAGGAGCTGCCTGTACCTCCCCAAGAACGTGTAGCTATTGTCACAAAGCTGTGGATTAGTGCAGTTGCCCTGTTGATGCATTCCTTCTAATATGTAGTGCCCTGGTGGCTGAACATAGTATTGTTTTGAATGGGAATCACTGTGGTCTCTTTTCTAGTTGACTGTATCTTTTGTCGTTTTAAATTTTCGAATTTTCTGTTGCTTTGATATATCAGCTTCCAGCATTATCAGCACTCTTGTTCTCAATGTTCTGTTAAATTAAATGTCAAGAGGTGATGACTCATGCCTCACTGGTACCATCTTTCACTTTATCATATGAAATATACGTTTTTGACTACACCATTCTTTTCTGTAGTACTTTGATATGTAGTGACACTGCTTAAGATTTCAAAGAGTTCAAGGCTATGTGCCCAATCCTTCTCTACTTCTCTGAAAAGAAACCACCCAGAACAAACACCGCTTAAACTCTTGCCCTGTAAGCTGAAGCCTGTTGCCAGATGTCTAGTTTTACACCACAGATGCAAACTTCACAAAAAATTCTGACTGTATCTGTGTTAGTATCATCTCTTTGAATGGCAAATGTGGAATTTCTACTTGGCGTAGTTTGCACTAGGGTGTTGGCATAGGAAATATGGTGAACCCAGGAGCAGTGAAGTGTCATTTTGTGATCCATAAATTCCGGTAGGACTCTTGTTAGATTGAGTAACCAGGTAGAGTTAGCAGAATCAGGTGGCTGCTTTGCCCACTTCTAATCAGACTCAGCATGCCTGCTGTTGTGCTAAGCAAACATCTTGCCCTCTAATCAGCTGACCATTTCAGGTTTAGTTTTATTCTAGTTCTTAATCTGAGGCTACGTTTAAGAAGTCATGAATTACTGTAGATAAGGATGGGTTTAGGTGTCTCACTAAAACTTCTTTCCATTTTCCCATAGGTGGCTGTACTAAACCAAGATGAATGTGTTTAACCTTAGTTTAAAAGCTTGGCTAGTTTGGAATTAAGAAATTCTAACTTAGGAATCAAAGTCCCCAGACAGCAAATAGTCTCAAAATGTCGAGTGGTAAGAACGTAAGTAAAATATCTTGCCTTAATTCTTTGGCTCTAAGTAATAGTTTATTTGGAATGAAGTTGGAGTAAGTAACTCAGTAAGGTAAGAACCTGCTCATGACATTTTTTGCACCACAACCTGTGTTTGAAGTAGACGTTTGAGATTAGAATATGTGACCATCTTGCATGTGTAGATATTAAAGCTAAGAATTAATGATGCTTCATAACCTCAGTGGAGAGGAGCTTCAGTGTGCTGTACTGAAAAGCCTTCATTTGATAGTTGAAAATGGAACAGCTGAAGAAAGATCTTTAAAAAAAAAAAAAACTACAGGCTTTATCTTGCAGGCTTTTATGAAAAGGTGACATGAAAGACAGCAGATGGATTTATCTTTTCACTTAGAAGCAAAACTACGAATGAGCTTCACATAAACAGATCTCTCAGCCAAATATAGCTTGACAGTAATTCTATAAGATTCATCAAGTCAAGGAAGGTGATTATATGTGACGCCACGAAATAATGTGAAAGTAGGGTATCTCATATGATTTCAATATTTCAAACCTGAGTTCATAAAATACAACTTTTTGATGAAAATGCTGTCCTGTGCTGCAACAATTCTCATCTTCATGTATTCTTTAGAATGATGAATAGATCTTATTTTATAACTTTCAAATTCTAATCTCCAGTAATCTTAAGCATTATGGAAACACTTCCTAGACTGCGGTAGTACAATGACTTTTGACTACTGTAAAATCGTGAAAGTGAGTTTTTAAGCATTTAAAACAGTTTTCCTGAAGATCAGTCTAACAGGTATGTTTTACATATCTTACTTAGGCTGTCAATATAATAGTGGCTTCAGCTACGAAAAACCCAGGCAAAACACACAGTCAAAAAATATATCATGATGATGAACTGAAGTCTTGCTTCCTTCTTTTTGTAATATCCAAAGGTGAGTCTGTACTGCCACGGAATAAACTGAGACATTTCCTTAATTTATTCTAGTGTCATGTAAATTTATAAATGGCAAATTTTGTAACAATTACTTCTGTAAAGCGTACTTAAAGTGTACGTATTATATCACCTACTAAATCATGGATAACCAACCTTTTGGTTTGCTTGGGCCATAATGAGTGAAAAGGAATAGTCATATTCATGTCAACTGAAAAAGGAGTTGTGAATATGCAAAAAAAAAAAAAAAAAAAAATTGAGGACATTTTTTGAAAATCTTGAATCCTGTCGTCATTTCCTTTATCAAAACTGAAAGCGAAGCTGTTCACAGGACTGTGTTTTGCCAACACATCAAAGTTCCTGTAGTTATTATTTGTATAACTGGAGTTTGTCATAATTTAAATTTAATTTTAAATGCCGTTATGGCTTGAAACCAGCACAGATAAGTTGATTTTTCACTTTGAAGGTGCATATGCAATTCCTTTAAATGAGTGGTTAAATCCACTGAAAATGCAAAATCTGTGGGCCATTTTTCATCTTCAGGTTCTGGTAAAGATTTTCCTTTGGGTTCCATAAATGACTTGATTTCAATTCACAAATCATAAAATCTTATTAGCATTTTACACCAACTTAGCCACCTTCCTTTAGAAAAATAAATGATGACCCCATAAACAACATGGTTCAATCCATTGGACTTCATGAAATTTGTAGTTTGATGATTTGCATGACATTATCTGCTTTAAAGCTTTCTCCCATAAATTTTCTTGATGTACAATGCAGTGGTATTTCGTTGAACATGAGTTGCTGGTAGCAATTCTATCAATAAGTTTCTCTTTTTCACTCACCATTGCTGAGGCACAATCAGTAGCTATACCAGATATGTTGACAAGATTTTAAAAAAATTGCTTTAACATAACATTTACTGTCTTATACAAATCAAGAGATTCGGTTGTATCTTTCAATAGCACCAAAGAAGCACAAATTTCTTTAGTGATGTTATATTTGTTATCAATACCTTTAATGAAAATGGCAAGTTGAGCTGTATCTGTGGCATCTGTACTTTCACCTGTTTCCCAAGCATAAAATCTGAAATAAGCAGCTTTATTCTCCAAATTTATTTTGTTAGATTTTCCTGTTTCTTGAGTTTGCCCAGCTACAGTCTGGTAAAACAAATTGATTTTAGAAAAGTCTTCATTTTTATCAGGGCACATTATATCTGTCATGCTTTCCATACACTGCTTAATAAATTCACCATCGGGAAATGGCTTTGATTCTTTTAGCAATCACATAACAGAGTCTGTTTGAGTTTTAACTTTTTGGAAATATTTTGTTGAGATGACAGATTTGTTTTCAGTTTTGCTATTTTGTTTTTAAGGAGCATTCCTTGATATGCATCGAATTTGGCAATGTTTCTGCAGATAATGTCTTTTCCAATTGTGATCTTTGAAAACCAACACTGTTTCCTTACAAATTAAGCGCATGTTATTTGTGTTAACAAAAAATTATTCATCTGTCCATTTTTCTTTGAACACTCTTCCTTAATCCACAATTTTTTTGGGTTCTGTTTTCTTCTGAGATGCCATGATGTAGATTGAAATGTTAGTATTGGCGGTCACTGCGTCTTTTCTCACCAAGTGGCCACATGTACATGATGGGTGCGAGAAGCAGCCAGCACAGTCGTGCCCTTCGTGTCCTTTGGCTTCAGCCCAGATGGTGTCAATCATATACTGGTGATTTGATTGTTCCTGTGCAATGGGTGTGCACCAGGAGAGAGCCACTACCACAGTGGTGCAGAGCAGGGGATGGCTGCAGTATGAGTTGTCCAGGGATGCATGTGGCCCAAGGGCTGTAGTCTAGATAGGTATGCACAAAATCATATAGGCTCCTAACTTTCATGATTAGGTTAGAATCAGATGTCTAAAATGCCTCTGTAGGTTTGGATTTGCAGGTTTCACTGCTTATAGAATTATAGTATTGATACTCTCTCTTTTCTGTCTTAATAAGTGCCTCTTAGTATTTAGACGCTCTATAGTACGGTTTCTCAAGATCACATATATACCTAAATGGTCTTCAATCTACTGGAAGTCAGCTAGCTGAATGTCATCTGATTACATCAAATTTTACTTTTTTTTCTCATTAAAGAGTTAAAAACATGTATTGAATATAATAAAGATGCATGCAAGTGTTCTGTTTGTTTTGTTGAATTGGATAATTATATATTTTTTTTCTTGAACTGGTCAAAGCATAGAGGTTTTTCCTTTTTAAAAAAATCTTTACATGGTTTCTGTACTATTTGATTCAGCTGTCATATGTCTTTTAAATGATTAATTGGTAACCCAAAGCACAGCACCAGAAGCGAATATCCTTGTTGATGAGTCTGGAAGATCATGTCTGAACACACAGAGTTGGTGAGTTGTTCTGCAAAATTTCATTTTCACAAACAGATGGCATGTAGAAATGGCTTGTGCACAAGAGTAGTGGGCAAGCCAAAGAAAGAGCTGGCACTATAGCTTACAGGAATTAAACTAACTGTTTGGGTTCACAGATACAGCAATCTCATATGTTTGCCCAGCTACAAGAGCTCTACCAGACCTGCGATAAATTGGGTTTTGCTGGTATTCTATTGCCAAATAGTGGTTGTCCAACTTCAGGCTAAAGACTGAATTAACAAGAAAGAAAAGGATACCAAAGTTTTCTGCCAAGTTCTATGTAATTACACTGATATCAAGCAGAATAATCCGTTCCCTAGTTGCACTGAAGAATAAAAATCCACAAGTTCTATAATGACTATGAAATTTGTGAGCAAACGAGTAAGATTAGTGATGTTGGCAGTGTTTAATGGAACAACAATCTTTCTTAGTGAACTCTTTTCACTGCAGAGGAGGTTAGGTGTATTTTTTAAGGATGGATTTAAAGCAAATTTCTCTGAGCAGGTTTCCAAATCGGGCTCTTAGGGAGATGGTATTTTTTGAAGAGGATATCTCAGGTTAAATGTCTGGCTGCATTGTTAGGCTCTTAATTAGAGTTCTCTTCTATATGGGCTCTAGGGTGATGGTAGGAGTAACTCTGCGGGGAGCTCTGTGTAAAGCTAGCTGTAAGTACCTCAATTTTTAGGCTTCGCTTCTTGAAAGAAGACCTGAGTAATATGGAATAGATTAAATCTGGTGAGCTCTGTTGATAAGGCTTCTAGGGACCTTTTAAAAAGTGTTATAAAATGCTGGTGAAGAGCACGAGTAAACAAAATGTGAGAAAAAATATAGATTTCTTTGAACTCTTCTGTATCAATTTACTGTTTGCCAACTGGATTGTTTTAATGGCTTTATTTCGGAGTTATTCCTAAGGTAATAGCAAAACAGTTGCAGGATGCCTCCTTACTTTACCAGGAGGGTCTGTACTAGTGTTTCTGCTGTTGGGTTCAATTAAAAAAAGTGTTCAGAATGTAACAATGCTCCAGGCATTGTGTGCTTATGGGTCAGGCATGAGAGCTGCCTTCATACTTTTGAGATGCTATTTCCTTAGAAGAGTGAGTCTTCCCTTGTCTGCGTTGGCTGGGCTCTAGAAACCCTTAAGGAAGATATGCTGAAGTCCTCAGGTATGTGTATTAAACATGTTCATTCAAGAGCTGCTCTCAGGTCTCCTCGGAGCCTTCTCTTCTCCATGCTGAACAGCCCCAGCTTTCTCAGCCTGTCCTCCCTGTGGAGCTGTTTCCTCCCTTGGATAATTTTTGTGTATCTCTGGAAACGCTCCAACTTTGTCTTTAACAATAAAATTTTAATGTAGAACTTTGGTTAATTTTCTTTCCTTAATGTTTGGAGAATTTCAGTCGTTGTAATGCAGCAGACAGTTATCTATAAGTTTGCTAGTAATAAGTATTAATTGTTATTCCAGGTAAAACAGTAACAGTCCATGTTACTTCACAGAGCAAATCCTCTTTCCTGCTTCTCCTTTCTCTAAGGAGATTTTAGTGGTGGTGGCTGTAAGGTTTCCCTTACAATAGGTTTCCCACATAATAGAACAACATCAGTTTTATAGAAATAATAAAATTACCCGCAGAACAAGAGTCTAATCTCTTTGGTAGAGTATGTAAAGTGGTCTTATTTAGGTAAAACTCACTGAAGAAGTTTGTTATGGAGTTAATTAGGATTTTAGCTTCCTGCTATTTATCTTTATACTCTCTCAGGTATGCAGGCTCTCTGCCTCTTCTTGTTTCAGGAAAGCCACCTATTACCTATGCAGATCTGAAGTGAAATCAAGAGCTAGTCATTTTACTGTGTAGAGAAATCAAGTAAGTGAAAACTTTTGGGCAAGGGAATTATTCTATAATACAAAACTTTTAGCTAAGTCACTAACATTTTCAATGTTTGCACTGGAGAGTGAGCTGATCCTGTGAACTTAGATATATATTTCTAATTGCTTCAGGATATCACTTCTGTGTTGTTTTAAGATGGTACAGAAGATTGATTCAAAGCATAATGCTAACAGCTAATGAAGTCTTGAGTGAAGATAAGGACTTTCAGTATTTCCCAAGATTGGGAAATACTTTAAGCATGAACTCAAATTCATCAAGTATACTCAGTAGAGCGATTTTTGTTGTACTGTATCTATAGTACAACTTAAAAAATTACTGCTACACATTAAAAAAAATACCTTCAAAAGAACTTGCAAACACAGAGGAAGTTTGCCACTTTCAGAATATTTGAGACCAAAGTGAGCAACGAATGATCTCTGGTAGAGAGTAATTAATGATGTAATGTGCTGAAATGAATACATATGACAGGCTGCAAATGCATTCACAATACTTTTGCGGATGATTCTTACTTGGATCAATGCATTAACTATGCTTCTTTTCTTTTTTTTAATGCCACATAAGCAATTGACTTAGTTCTCAAGAGCATAAGGATTCTTATGAATCTCATTTCATAAGAAATAATAATTTTCTGGAAATAAAAGATGGTGATCGTTAATTAAGTCTTTTAAGACTTCTTGAATTCCAAATCATACATGCAGTAAATGAGTGTTGGTAGTAGGCAGTGAGTTCTTGGTATCTGAATCTGTTATAGAGGAATTATATTGCCCTAGATGTTTGCTGGATTATAAATGACACGTTTACTTCAATACTACCTCAGAGTATTTTGTGACTGAAAAGATAAACAATTTTGTCAATAGTAAATTGTCCTGTACTTTATTGATCTCTTAATAACTTACAACTGTAAAACAGGCAATAAACCGCAGCAATAACTTGTTTCCCCTAAGCAA